CGAATCTTAGGAAAACATGTGTACATTCCTTTAGCTCTGGATGAATGAAAATTTTCTGTGTGGAATGATCGGAAGTTGCTAACGGTTTCAGATTGGCCATGTGGGTTTTTAGTTGACTGACAAATGACTCGCAAGGAACTCGTGGAGTGTCAGGGCTAATGATGTCAGCTGGTAATTTTAACGGGGTACCATATAATAGTTCGGCTGCTGTTGTGCCTATATCGGCTTTAATTGCTGAACGAATTCCCAGGAGGACTACCGGAAGGGCGTCGGTCCATTTGGAGGATTCGTGTGCCATTAGCGATGCCTTCAGGTGTCTATGTAATCGTTCTATTAAACCGTTTGATCGGGGATGGTATGCTGCTGAATGGATGCGATTGGTGCCGAGAAGTCTGGTCAGTTCTCGGAAGAGGTTCGATTCGAACTGACGTCCTTGATCAGTTGTGATGGTAGTAGGACATCCGAATCTTGCGATCCAACCTGAGAAAAAGGCTCGGCATACCGTCTCAGCAGATATGTCGGCAATTGGGATGACTTCTGGCCATCTGGTAAAACGGTCGATCACTGTAAGGCAGTAGTGTTTCCCGTCAGCTGGCGGAAGTGGTCCTATCAGGTCCATGTGAAGATGGGAAAATCTTGCTTCCGGAAGTGTAAACTTCCCTATTGGTGTCNTATTTTAAACAATGGCAAATAAAGCATGGCCTTGATATTTATACTAGCAACCAACAAATAAGTCACACCGACTTGGAACAAGAAATTTCTTTTGTCATTTATTCACAATCTTTGGCCCTTTCGTCCACACCGTCAATCGTCTTCGAGCAACCCTCTTACAATGATTACGAAATCTTTACGGATGGTTCGAAAACAGATATAAAGGTTGGTTGTAGTTATGTTGTTTACCAGAACGGGCAGGAGATTGCTCTGGGCCAGTTCAGATTGGGTGAACAATGCACTATTTTTCAAGCAGAACTTTATGCCTTGAAAATGGCCATTACTTGGGCTAACAATGTCCATCATAAACAAATAGCTATCATTACTGATAGCTCTTACTCTATTGCAATCCTTCGTAAAGGATCCTTTCACCCAAATGTTTATGAGATTCACACTCTCATTTCCAAGTCTTCCAATCAATATTATATTTACTGGACTCATGCACATATAGGTACTCATGGTAACAAAAGAGCTGATGCCTTAGTAAAGGCAGCTTCCAACAATAATAGTCTTAATATCTCTTATGATAAAATCAGCACCAGTACACTCAAAAGAATTCTCTGGCAGGATCTACTATTAACTTGGCAAAACACCTGGGACCAACATAACCACCCTATTACTCATAGATTCATACCTTGTATAAAGACCTTTTTTACATACAAATGGTACAGACCTAATAGTTTTGTTATGCAATTTCTTACCGGTCATGGACGCTTTCAATCTTATCTAGCAAGATTCGTTAATGCAACCAGCTCAATATGCTCTCTGTGCGGTGTTACAGATAGTAATGTGCACTACATTTATGAGTGCCCCATGCTTAATTTGGAGCGACATATACTGCTTACCACTATTAATTCACATGGCCACAACTGGTCTGATTATGACACAATCCTTCGTGAAAAAGACTCACATGAGGCCTTTTTCGACTTAATCACCAAATACTTTGCATGTACTACAGTCAGTGGCTTTTAGTCAGCTTTGTACTCAATCACTCTTGAGTACAAGCAATGCCATCTTATTCAGATTCATCAAATAACTAATATATATATCTTCATCTTTTAAGTTTTTCCAGCAGCCAGCATGTTACACATTATCAGCCTTAGGATGTCTGGCACACGTTTAGTTTATCCTGATGTAAGATATGCACGTGGTGATTACACTTCGTGGTAGAAGTTGAAAAAAACAATACGCATAAAATTCCCTTTTCACCAGTGTTTATTTTCCTCGAGTTTACAGGATTCTTGTTTTTAGATTACGACGCTCCTTATATTAAAGATTTTTACAATTTTCAAAGGTTAAGTTTTTCTCTCGTAACAAAATATTTTACTGCGGTACAATATAAAAAAATGAAACTATGACTAATACTTAAAAACTATTTATACTAAGAAAAAAAAAAGGGAGGAGGAAAAGATAGACAATAGGATAGATAGGGTACCCAGTGCCGATGATCTTGGACTGCTGGTGGTGGTGGTGGCCTATTGGTGAAATCTTGCGGACAGTAAGTCAAAAAAATGACTCAGGCTTTCTAAACAATCTTTTGGAGGTTCTTATACCAATGTATGTGTTCTGACTCCTTCTGATTGCTGACTTCTAGCCTCCATTGTCCTACCATTGCTGCCGAAACAACCGGGAGGTCTTCTTTGCACGTCTTAGTTCTACAACGTCCGAGCCAGACAGTGAGTTCGAAGTTTCTCTTTTTGCCCTCAGGCTACCGCCTCTTCTTTGTTCTTGAAACTAGGTCACCACCACCTTATCAGGAAAGGATTAGGGAAGGAATTTTCTAGAAAGTTATAGACAAAGGAAGAAAGAAAAAGAAAGGAAACGAAGAAAATACAAATAAAAATATATACATAAAATAAGGCATACGGCCACACTGATTATTCAGTAGTTATTCTCTACCAAAGTATACTGTTTACATGCGGACAGTTGACCAAGACTACAGCACTAAGTTTACATTGCACTCTTTATACATTAGTGTTGAAGAACATTTTCTTCATCCTATTCTGCTTGTGGCTGTCTCTTTTATGGATGGACTCTATATATTGGTGTTGACTGTGACTGGGTTTCAGCTGGAATTGCACCAAGCACAATTTCGAGACACCGCTCGATCGCCAGTGATTTCTCTTCACTACATTATATTTTTTTTTTTTTTTTGTATTTTCAGGAATTGTTGAGATGTCACCTTAGGATATAGGATTTGTCCTACCACATTCACAAGTGTAAGTTTGTGGAAGCATTGTGTAAGTTTGTGGAACTCTTAAAATCTCAACTGTGTTTTTGCAGCACCAATTCAATTCTTAACAATAGAATCTTGAGGAACTTTCTCATTGACCTCATTCTTATTTTGGTGCATGTTATCTATGTGGCAGCAGGTCCACTTCACCTACTAGAAAATTAAAAATTATGACCTGACTTTTATAGGTCCATGACACACTTAAATTGTGAAATGAAGTGAAGAACGAAAACAAGGAATAAAAGTAGGACAAAAAGGGAAAAGGGGGGAAGAAAAGAGAAAAGGGGAGGGTAAAAAGTGATAAGAATCTATCTGTATGTCTAAAATGTGTGTTTACTAAAATCGTGTTTACTGTTACCATTACATTGTACCCACTGTGTTTTGTGCCCCACATCTTTTATCTTGTACAACCTCTTTTGTAAGTGTATTATAATCATGTATTTACATGTAAGGAATTGCATTCCAGTGATGTTATTGTATTTATTTTGCCTGTGTATTTTACCTTTATATTACAATTAATTATGTATTTTGTAACACTTTTAACTACAGTCGACCCCCCTATAATGCGGTAGATACGTTCCGCTTTATAAGAATTTTGCGTTGTAGGAATCCTCAAATACATGAGCCAATCACAGCCCGGCACGTGTGCAATTTACGGACTACAGCTGTTTGAAAGGTTTTCTTCCATAAAATTAATCGATTCTAGACTAATTTAACTCAACATTTCCAAAACATGTATAATTTTTTGGGAATAATCTGTATAAACTATGCTATAAACAAAAAATTGTAGGATTACTTACCAAGTGTGCACTGTTCAATGACGCCATTGCTTAAGCTTGTTTTCGTCGCAGAGCAGCATACCAAACGGCAGGCGCATTTTCTGATAAGTTATTTTTCGTGAAAAATTTGTTGAACTTTGGAGACATCATTACTAGAAATAATTTTTATGACCATTGAATAAGAAATGTTTTTTTCACAAGAAATGTATAAAATTACAGTACTGTATTAGACTTACAGTACCTAATTTAGGCCTATATACTGTACAGACGATAGTAAACGCAACTTACCCACCTAAACTCTCCATAGCGTGTAAGTAGTTCAGCGCTCGTCCACTATTGGTCCAGATTCGACCAATCCTGTCACGACACGAGTCGGCGATGACATTTTACCACATTTTATGAGTCTCTTTTAGTGTCTTTATACGAATATGATTGCAATTTTTTCACCGCGATATACGAATCTGCATTATATGAACCCGCATTATTGGGTCTACTGTATCTGTATCTTTATTATTGTAATTTGTTACCATTGGGTAGTGCTCACTGCGGAACCTGACATTTACTATTGTGTGCGTTAATAAAGAAGAAATGAATTGAAATATATCTTGAATAATTAATTAGTTAAATATACTGTTCAGAGCAAAAAAAAAAAAAAGCATTTGACTGTTTCTGAAGTTATCAATTATTAAATTATTATTAAATTTATTCATTTTTTTCCCAACCTCAGAAGTAATTATTATTAAACTGTCGGTGTTAACACATTGTTATATATATATATAGTTAAATTAATATTTTTAAATTTTAAATACCCATTAACAAAGAGAATTATCCACCAAGAAGGTGTCATTTGAATTGAATGAGTATAAATGTAACAATGATACAATATCATAAACAAAGAGACAATATCCTGTAGAATAATTGTATAATGTAAACATATTCTATGCAATTAAATTTTCTCAAAAGAAATCTTAAAATAAAAATTTCCTTTAATGATTATTAAAATTTGGGTTCTTGTTAATCATATTGTAAATTAACAAATTATGTAAATATAGTTTAGTATTCAAAATTCTTTCCCATAAGAATCATTTTATTTTTCCAATTAAAAATCCATAACTGTAATTATATCAATAATAATAATAATTTAAATTTAACAATGATTAAAAAAATAAGTATTTAATTTACAAATTATTCTCCATAGTTTTAAAAATAATTTATATTATCTTCTATAAAACTGCAATAAAAAATTAAGATACTCTATTATTAAGTTAATATATATTAATTTAGGCATTTACAAAAACATTTCACGGAATGCATGATTAAAATAAATCACTTGAAAACATTATTTTTACACTGAACTTCTTTCATTTTCAATAAATTCTGTATTTTTCTTATTGCTTCTGTTAAGATTTGAACTGTCTGAAGAAGCATTGCTAATATAGTAATTATTCTTGCAATTAGGAAACAGATCAGAAACAAATAGCACCTATAAAAAAATTTTAAATATTACAGAAAGACTGATTTAATGTTAATCATTTTTTAACAAATAGTAGAATAGATTTATTTCAAAGATCTGTAATGAAAGGTTATACCATATACAAATAATTTATACACTGAATGATTACTGCATTAGGAATACCATGTCACCATAATCTTGAAAGTGGTAAAGGGATATCATGTAATAGTCATGTCACAATTGTTATGTAAATAACAGGGCAGTTGCACCCTGTTATTTACATAATACAGGGCAATGGTTGCTAATCATGGGCAAATAGAGGTGAGTTGAGCATAGACAGATTATTGGGACCACAGGGAAGGGTACCAATATTTCTGAAACAGCTGCATTAGTTGATTGTTCTCATACCACAGTGTACCATAAATGAGCTGGATCATGCACAAACATTCACCAGAAGATCACACAGTGACCAGCCACATGGGGTTGATCCCAAAGGTCAATGGAACAGTTCCCGCTAGTACAACAGTGGACAAGGCAGATGTGTTTTAACAACACCCATGTATTGGCTAGGGGTTCAATAACCATGAGTTCCTCTGTTGACCATGCATCATTGCAAACACCTTGCATGGGCAAAGGAGAACTATCATTGGATAATGGACATGTGGAAGAAGGTCATCTAAAGTGATGAGTCCTGTTTTATGCTGAACCACATTGATGACCAGGTCTAAACCTGGCTTAAACAGCATAAAGCCATATTCCCTGGTTGCACAGTTGAGGTCACATAAGCTGGTGGTGGTGATATCATGGTCTAGGACCATTGCTCATCACCCCACAATCCTTGAATGGTGAACGATAAGGGACTTTTTAGTGATCATCCTGTCTTTATCTCCAGTCTATGTTTCCTTACACAGATGCCATGTTTCAACATAATAAAGCACATGTCTCCAGCTGAAGCTCACTTGGGAATGGTTGGAGGGACAAGACAATGAATTCTACACACTGCCTTGGCCCCCAAACTCACAAAACTTCAATCCTATTAAACATAATTGGGATATGCTGGAAAATATTGTAAGGAACCAAGTCTGAGCATTATTTTTATTTACTTTTATTTTTGCTTTTATTATATTTTTGTTTGGAGCTTATGTTTTGTTAGGACGAAGGTTTCCTCACCCATCACCTTAGAAAGTTAAAAATAGAAGATAAACCAACTCACCGACGAAGAAAAAAGCGCCATAGTTAAAACTCGCACTCACGTGCACGCCCGAGCAGAAGAAAGTAAGTCCGCACCGAAGAATGGGGGGGAAGACCCCACAAAAAACTTTAGGAACTTGTTAAACCTTAAAAGGGAAAAACATCCCGATAATTGTTAAAAAGAATAATGTAAAAGGTTAATGAAGTATTGTCGGGAATTAAGCTACCAGATAAACAAGAAAAAACTTAATGTTACATGTAAGTATGTAAATGAGGGGAGTGTCTCACTTAGAAATTGTGATGTCACCTCACACTATAAAAAACATACCTCAAGTGAAGACAGCTGAGGTGAACTCCTGCGAATAACAAGCGTTGGTGTGCTTAGTAGCAGTGAACGAGAGATGTCCAATAGGAAAATAGTCCAAGGAAATTGAAATATTCGATTTGTGGATCGAGGATAGAGACAGTCTTGAGTTGAGAAAAAGGTTCCTAGTATATTGAGGTGACGGTTAGGATCTTTAGTTATAAGAAATTTTGTACCTAAGTTAAAGCTTTGATTTTGTCAGAATTCCAAGGGGAATAGTTTTAAGTTAGAATTAGATTGAGTTTTGTCGGGTTGATTGATTTTGATTTGAATAAATTTGTTGATTTGTTGTTAAATATTGTACATAGTTATTTCTAGAACTTTATTAAACATTTTTAATTGGGTTTTGACTAACTTGGCCATTAATTTATTCCGGTGCATGCAAAAATCCAGGCCTGGCAAAATAAATGCAAACCCGCGTAAAGTACCCGTTAGGTAATGGCTCTTTCCGGTACAAAGTCATATCGAGAATCGTTGTAGAGAGATAAGATAAAATATAGTACTTTACAATATGATGAGATTGTCACCTACTGCTCTGCAAAATATGCACCAACTCTCAAAACTGCCTGAGCAGGTGTGAATTGAGTTAAGAACAGAGGATGTTTGGCATCATATAGAGCAGGTGTGGCCAAACTTTTATCCTTTAGGGGCTACTTTTTTGGTAAAATATAGTCTGCAGGCGACTATGAATATGGGCAAACAATTTTAGGATTTTTACATGCACATGCCTTAACATTCATTTGCATTGTTCATCGGGATAAATACAAACAGTATGGGTATGTTGCACAGACAGTCTATTATTGTAAGAATAAATTATCGAATTAAGATTTTTAAACATTAATTTAAGTGAAAGCAAATTGTTCAACTTTAGCTTTCAAAACCCTTGCAATCGATCGCGGTCTACATATTGGCCATCCCTGATATAGAGTCTATCCCCGGTGTTTGCAAGTCATGATCACCCAGAAAAATGGACAAGCCCATTATTAGGCAGGTGTTCCTAATATAGTGATTGTTCAGTGTAAAATTCAATGCCCAATATATATGTAGTCATATACTTTTTTTATGAATTATATATATATATATATATGTAATTCATAATGTATGACTATATATTGTTTGAGTCTCAAATTTATTAAATTTTAATAGATAAATATTAATTTTGTGAATGTCATTTAATGTTGTCACAAATAAAATACTCTTCAAGATAAAATATGGAAATTTTATGACAATCCAAATTAATGTTACAATTAGCAAATTTAGGTAGTTCTTTTATAAAAATTTGCACCTTTAATTTACTATAAATGATATCTATGTAAAGATTATCTGCAGAATTATTATTATATGAAAGAATTTTTTTAAATAGAGCATCCAAAACAATGCAAAATGAAATTATTCTAATTTCATCAAGGCATTAAATAATTATTACTTTTTCAAACAATATTGTGAGAAAATTTTAATATATTGTAAAACTGACTCTTAAATAAAAATTTAAATCAAAATAAATCAGTTTCATTCAATTTGTTGTTGATAAAATTCAAAAATTTCTCAATGTAATTATTGTGACATTTTTATGTGATACAGCCAAAGAAGGACTTCCTTTTAATTTCAGGATATTACGATAGTCATGATTTATATCATTTTCTTAAATTAGTAAATACTTTATCAATGCATAACTTGCACTATCATGAAAAATATTCCATAATTTCTCTAATTCTGCCACATCATTTTTTGTTTGTTTTCATGGATTTGATGAAGACACAAAAAGTATTGTATAAGAATACTTACTCAATTCAAAGTATAATACACTTTTACTATTAAGAAACACTAATTTAAACTTTAAAAAAATAGATGATATAATATATTTATAACATGGATATAATTTTTTTTGTTGTACAATAACTTATATTAATATTTTAGGGAATATATTCTAGAGTTGTTGTTAAGATAATTATTGTGTATTATTTTAATTATTATCTCTCTCTCTTTAAAAAACTGTTACCTCTCTATCATATTATAATCGTACGAAGTGTGCAATTCCATAATTTCTCTCTATTTTTCACATAATTTCACATATATTTCATAATTTTTCACAATTCCATTTTTCTCTAAATACATTTTTGAGAAATTGGAGAAATTAATTCTAAATGCAATGGTTTCTGCTGCAAAAAAATATTATAGCAATAATGGTGTAGTAAGTGGCTTATTTTGAAGATGAATTCAAATACAAATAAAGTGACTTCTGGTACTTAAAACATTACAACTTATGTTTACATCATTTTGTTATTCCAGAGAATTTGTAACCTAGTGAGGTTTTTTATACCATTTTATTGTAAACTTGAAGGAATTCATTCACTAAAAAAAATGTTTTTTTATTTTTCCCAAATAGTTTGTTTTTTGGCATTTACAACATTATGGCATTGCACACTTCATGCATTGCTTCTTTAAATTATCTTTTTCATTACTATTATGGTATTATAATATTACAAAGATTGGCATATTATTTTACTTCATTTTTCTCAGATATTATGTATTTTAGTAGCATTTCATTTAATCAGCTATCATTATGAAATTTAAAACTAATCAATATTTAGCAATATTTAACAGAGTAATTTTGAGTTTTTAACTAATGATAGCTTGGAATAGTATACAATAAATTATTTATGAATAATTGAAAGACAGAAAAATATAATAAATTTTGATTTTTCCATTTATTTATTTTAAGATAAATAATTGAACAAATATTTGGTAGTAATAATTATTATGAACATCTATTATATTTTTAAGAAGTATATTCTAATAAACAGTAGAAACTTCTTAAAAATATAAGATTTTAAAATATTTAAGGATGTAAAAATATACTAAATGCTCTAAAGCTAATATATTGTATAAGAAAATTAATTTTTATTTACCAAGAGAGAGACAAATTGAATTTTATAAAACACAATGTAAAGAGCTAAGAAATAAAAACTTACCACTATGATTGCAACAATGATTCCTTGAATTGAACCAGTTAAAACATCACTCCAATGATGTTTATAGTCAGATACTCTGGATAAGGCAGTATAATAGGCTGAAAACAACACAACAGCCTGCAAAAATGGTCTCAGCAACTTATTGCATTTCCAAACAAATCGGGCTTGTAAGTACATCTATAAAATTATTCTTATTAATTATGGATTTTTATTTTAAATATAATTACATTTAAAAATCTGATAATACTTGTTACATACAGTACATAAACACACCAAACATTTCAGGATTGAATATCCTAAATGTTTGGTTTACAATTTAAAAAAATATATTATTTATAATACTTATGCATAAATTCATATAAATAATTAAAATATTTCATTTCTGCCAAGTGTTTAAAAAGTGTCACTACATTGTGTCTATGAAAAGTAAAAAAAAAATATTTCAAAAATATGACAAATTATATAGATACTGGTTTAGAGGATATTTTTTCATATTAATAATTTTCATATATATTCAATAATATAATGGTACTAATTTGAGAATTAACCAACTAAATTGCTACATATTCACAGTATAATGTGTTTATAGAAATCATGTTTTAAGATAATTATAATAAAAATAAAGACAAACATATAAAATGTTTAAGACTGTACATTACATTACAGTTCTGTGTCTGTTATGTTTAAGATTGAATTTTAATCAATCAAAGAATGAAAGTATTAAACAAAAATTTATTGAACAATTTAGAATTATTATTTGTGATCACTAAGTATCTAATGCTTCTTGAAGACAAATACTTTGTTTTATACATTCACATGCTAAACAATTTAAAAGCAAATAAATGTTCTATATAGATAAAAACAATATCAAAATAATAATACTAAAGTTTCTATCCTCTATCTTAAAAGTATAATTTTCTTTTTTAATTAATATACAATTAAATATATTAATATTTTTTGATTATTAAAACTCATATTCCTTCAAATATATTAATACAAATATAAGATAATACATTTTTTTTTATAACTGTTTTATTTAGAAAAGAAAATTTATTTTCTTTCTATTTTTTTAAAATNTGCTGTTTCGTGTGGCTGGATGGTCATCGGTGACGTCACGGGGTTTTTTTGCGCAATGTTTTTGCAAAATGTGTTAGGAAATTTGTCACCGGATCAATATTGTAATGTGCCTAGATGATAAAAAATGATAAGCATTCCTTCGTTGGTTGGTAGCCTTTGTAGCCAGAGAGCGAGAGAGAGAGAGAGAGGAAGGGCGAGAGAATTTGGAATTCGTTATTGATTCGGTCTGCCACTCTACCCTCCTGCCATCAACATAGACACTTTATATATATATATATATATAGTGGGTGATTGGTTAACAAACAAATCAGATAATGAACACTTTTGCAAAAGATTTTTATGTTCGGACAACAAACACCTCACAGAACAAACACAAGAAGAAGTGACATAAAATAACGAATACCGATTGGTCTTCCCTTGTCTTCAGACAACAATTCAAAACTTTTTGGAGTGCAGGAAACATCGACATCGATGATCAACCAGGTATATACTGATCGAATAGTATTCCTCTGAACTTTGAAACTCTCCATTGTAATTCCAGCCTTTTGTTTTTCTGACAGAAACAATTTTTTTATAATATTCGCGAGACTGTTGGGCAGGCACTCATTAAGTTTTGCGTCAGTTTTTATTTTCGAAAGGTAAGAGTATAATAGCAAAGGTAGAGAGTGGGCAGATGTCTGATGTCTGTTGTTGCTGGGCAGTATAGCTTGAACAGGTCTACAGTAGGCCTCAGTTCAATCTTATCTAAGAAAGATACAGTATAACTGAGAAGACTCAAGCAGCGTAAGGAGTAACAAAAATCACATCTGAGAAATAAAGAACATTGAAGAGTTCCTAATGGAATTTGAAATGGATCTGACAACAGAAGAACGCCAAGAACTCTTGAATGAAGAACACCAAGAAACTCAGCGAGATATGTTTTCTTCTAAAAAAAAGAATTAATGTCAATATCTGCTATTAAACATTTTTTTGAAGAAGTGGGATGATGTCAGAACAATGGTCTTAGAATGTCATCCAAACCAGGTTGAGATTAATAGGCTTAGGGATCTCTACAATTACAGCGCTATTAATTACTTCTGAAAAATCCTGAAGAAGAGAGAGAAGCAATTGATTCTTTAACCCCCACAAAAGGAAAAAATGTGACTAATATAAATGCAAGAGTGTGTATATATGTATTTTTATTATTACATATAAATAAACATAGTAAGAAAGTATATTTTTTATTTTTTGGGGTCTCCAGAACGAATTAATAAAATTCCCATAAAAACCTATGGTAAATCGATAATCTGTTAATGAACAATTCAGATAGCGAACAAAGTCTTGGAACGTATTATGTTCGTTAACCGATCACCCACTGTATTTGTATCAAAGTAGCTATCCCATTCCAATCTCTATCAATCTGTTTCATGATCTACTTTTTTATGCATTTGAGTAACAACAATGTTTTTTATAGTTTGTTCTTTCTCAAAGTTAACAAATAATTAGCAAAATAAAACATTAACAAATTTTCTAAAACAATTTTTTATTAAAAAATTTGTGTTTAAAGCTTTCTGTATGAAGGCTTTGAACTATTAGGCAAATTTCTTTAATTATGATCACCTTATATTAACACAGATTAATAGAATACTGAAACACAGGGTGCATGTACAGTGGATGAAAACTATTTGCAGTAAGGTTCATTCATGTACTGTACAGTATAATTGTTTAATACCCATAGACAAAAATCAATGTGTTTTTGAAATGCTAGTAGATATTTTATTTAAATATTGTATTTTAAAAGAGAATTCAGAAAAGAAAGCTAATATCCAGTATATCATCAATTAGACTCCCAGTAGCCTATAGATTGACTTCAGATTCTAGTTTAGACAAAATTTTATCTACACTTAATGAATCTTATCTTTTGCTCAATAGACTGTCATCCCCATACTGAGAAAAGTAATGTTGGTCACATGTCTTGACTTCCTCCTGATCATTCAATATTTTGACACCATATTATTTTATAAATATCTTAATGGTATTTTAAATTTAAATTATATTTTTATTAATGTTCCACCTTTTAGTTCACATAATTACAGTTTTATATACACACCTTTAGTTGTCTGTCTAAGTTTATATGAATTTATTGTAAATTCTTTTTTATTTGTTTTCCAAAACCATTAGGATTTTTTAGAGCATCACTTACTTCAAGACTTTTTTATTTTCAATAAGTACTGTACAAATGATTTGTTAGTTCACAGTATTTTAGAGTACTTTTTCTTTTATGTTTTATATTTGCATTTATTGTTTTTGTCAGGGCTGTGGAGTCTGAGTCATTGAGTTTTGATGCTTTAGTCGAAGTCATCAAAAATCCCTGACTCTGACTCCTTTTTACTTTTCCAACTTGTTATGTATATAAAAAATGAAAAAGTTTTTGAATCATGTCACATTTAACCCTCCGAGTTTTTCGCAAGTCTATATGTTAAGCGATCTCTTGAACCCAAAAAATGTCAAATAAAGGGAAAAATTTGCACACGCACACATATGTTGGCGTCTAATTTGTTTAATTTCTTTATTCTGTTCTGAAATATTAAAGATTACCCTGAAGAACTCTGTTTCTACTGTACTACTTTAAATGCAATTTTTTGTGCTTTTGTGAAAAATCGAACATACTTTTAGACCCATCTAAAAATTTTCTAATTAATCTCGGAAGAGGAGGGACCTAATTCTTGCACCCATGCACCCAGTGAAAATGGGTAAGATCGACTATAATCTAATAATCTTAATCTTTGATATCGTTACTTTGCCTGAGCAACATCTGGCTCATCTGCTTTTTTTTTTTTTTTTATAAAACTCTACCCTCAAAATTAAGCTCAAGTTCTAATATGAGTACAGACAGAAAAGGAAATCTTACAAAATATGAAGATAATATTTACAATGCACTGGAAAAACTAAATCACATTGACTACTCTTCAAGTTTGGATGTTAAATCGGCAATACTGCACTACCCAGACATTATCCAAGATACAGCATTGATTGTCACAGCATTGCCATCAACCAAGTTTCAGTAGAGCATTTATTTTCTGCTCTTAAAATTATTAAATATGATTTAAGAGCTTCAGTGAATACTGACTTAAAAGAAGTGATTTTTTTTGTAAGGAGATATTCAGTTTATAACAGAAATGAAAAATAATAAATTAATCAACATGGTAAAATAAGCAACCTTTTTCTTTACCAGTCTAAATGTTATATTTCTTATTCTTGGCTTAGTTTAATGTATCTGTATACATATATGTTACTCAATATGCTTGTATATTATGTACAACAACACTTTTATTCGTACATGCTTACCAAATACCATTGCCATCATCAAACAAGTCAATAAATGTGAATTTATATATTCAGTAGATGTGTCAAATTTTAATGTTTAATTACTTTTTTTAAAATCGTTTTATTTTGTATTTTTTTAAAAATAATCATCATTATTACTTTTCCAGCAGTTATACAGTATATTCCTATAACAAAGGAAAATAATGATGATCAGTCAAAAAATTACTTTCCCAGATTTTTACTCTTTTGGACTTGGGAAGCCTTGATATGTAGAGAAGTGCAAAAGCAAATTCGGGGTTTTTTCTGTATGCATGATGTTATAATGTGTACCAACCGATTTAGTTCAACCATTTTGAAGCTTAATAACTCCTGTGTTAAACCATCCGACTCCGATTCAAAATTGTGCCTCCCATACAGTCTAACAGTCCAAAACCCAAATATTTGAATATCTTGACATTTTGAGGTGTCCTGAGTCCAAAAATGCAAAAATTTGAGGATGGATCATTCAATCGGCAATGTACTACACCGGGTTAAAGTAAACAAATAAAAAACAATGTACCAAGAACCGGCAACAGGTTCCTGGTACGTTGTTTTTTGGATGGATCATTTTTTGACCAATTGCTATACTTTTCCTCTGTTATATATAACAGCCAGAAAAGTAAAAATTATCAAATACATATTTATATATTGACTATGTCATTACTTAGAGGAGTATTTTAGCTTTGAATAAAAAGTTTCTATGTTCTATGTTTATTAGAACTATGTTTATTGAAGCTTATATTTTGAGGTCATGTGATGACGTCAGAATTTTCAACCTACTTTGTTAACAAGTCTGTCTCTGGTTGGATGGTAAGAAAAAGTCGGATGTCAGAGTCGTGTAAAAATCTACCAACTCCACAGCCCTTGTTTTTGTATTACCTTTTATATGTTTATCTGTTGATTTCTTAACAGGAATTAGTGTTCCAGGACAGTTGTCAAATGTTCTTGTGAATGCTCCTGTAAGTCAACTTAAATAGATAAAAACAAAAAAAAACTTTTAAACAGAAGTCAAAAAGTATAAACAAGTGTCAGAAAAAGTGTTACAGTAGAGTCTCGAAAACTCAGCACTCGATAACCCGGCCACTCCCTAGCAGGGCAAAAAAATCCTTAGTTAATTAATTTTCATTATAGACAGCTTTATGACTCAAAGTATTTTTCTGAGGTCTGTCTGATCAGGTAAATTACTGTACACAGTGTATTCATTAATTTTCATTTTCATGTAGTAAAGGCTCTATGCCTTCATAATGGACGTACTTTTCCTTNAAAATAAGTATTTAATTTACAAATTATTCTCCATAGTTTTAAAAATAATTTATATTATCTTCTATAAAACTGCATTAAAAAATTAAGATACTCTATTATTAAGCTAATATATATTAATTTAGGCATTTACAAAAACATTTCACGGAATGCATGATTAAAATAAATCACTTGAAAACATTATTTTTACACTGAACTTCTTTCATTTTCAATAAATTCTGTATTTTTCTTATTGCTTCTGTTAAGATTTGAACTGTCTGAAGAAGCATTGCTAATATAGTAATTATTCTTGCAATTAGGAAACAGATCAGAAACAAATAGCACCTATAAAAAAATTTTAAATATTACAGAAAGACTGATTTAATGTTAATCATTTTTTAACAAATAGTAGAATAGATTTATTTCAAAGATCTGTAATGAAAGGTTATACCATATACAAATAATTTATACACTGAATGATTACTGCATTAGGAATACCATGTCACCATAATCTTGAAAGTGGTAAAGGGATATCATGTAATAGTCATGTCACAATTGTTATGTAAATAACAGGGCAGTTGCACCCTGTTATTTACATAATACAGGGCAATGGTTGCTAATCATGGGCAAATAGAGGTGAGTTGAGCATAGACAGATTATTGGGACCACAGGGAAGGGTACCAATATTTCTGAAACAGCTGCATTAGTTGATTGTTCTCATACCACAGTGTACCATAAATGAGCTGGATCATGCACAAACATTCACCAGAAGATCACACAGTGACCAGCCACATGGGGTTGATCCCAAAGGTCAATGGAACAGTTCCCGCTAGTACAACAGTGGACAAGGCAGATGTGTTTTAACAACACCCATGTATTGGCTAGGGGTTCAATAACCATGAGTTCCTCTGTTGACCATGCATCATTGCAAACACCTTGCATGGGCAAAGGAGAACTATCATTGGATAATGGACATGTGGAAGAAGGTCATCTAAAGTGATGAGTCCTGTTTTATGCTGAACCACATTGATGCCCAGGTCTAAACCTGGCTTAAACAGCATAAAGCCATATTCCCTGGTTGCACAGTTGAGGTCACATAAGCTGGTGGTGGTGATATCATGGTCTAGGACCATTGCTCATCACCCCACAATCCTTGAATGGTGAACGATAAGGGACTTTTTAGTGATCATCCTGTCTTTATCTCCAGTCTATGTTTCCTTACACAGATGCCATGTTTCAACATAATAAAGCACATGTCTCCAGCTGAAGCTCACTTGGGAATGGTTGGAGGGACAAGACAATGAATTCTACACACTGCCTTGGCCCCCAAACTCACAAAACTTCAATCCTATTAAACATAATTGGGATATGCTGGAAAATATTGTAAGGAACCAAGTCTGATCATTATTTTTATTTACTTTTATTTTTGCTTTTATTATATTTTTGTTTGGAGCTTATGTTTTGTTAGGACGAAGGTTTCCTCACCCATCACCTTAGAAAGTTAAAAATAGAAGATAAACCAACTCACCGACGAAGAAAAAAGCGCCATAGTTAAAACTCGCACTCACGTGCACGCCCGAGCAGAAGAAAGTAAGTCCGCACCGAAGAATGGGGGGGAAGACCCCACAAAAAACTTTAGGAACTTGTTAAACCTTAAAAGGGAAAAACATCCCGATAATTGTTAAAAAGAATAATGTAAAAGGTTAATGAAGTATTGTCGGGAATTAAGCTACCAGATAAACAAGAAAAAACTTAATGTTACATGTAAGTATGTAAATGAGGGGAGTGTCTCACTTAGAAATTGTGATGTCACCTCACACTATAAAAAACATACCTCAAGTGAAGACAGCTGAGGTGAACTCCTGCGAATAACAAGTGTTGGTGTGCTTAGTAGCAGTGAACGAGAGATGTCCAATAGGAAAATAGTCCAAGGAAATTGAAATATTCGATTTGTGGATCGAGGATAGAGACAGTCTTGAGTTGAGAAAAAGGTTCCTAGTATATTGAGGTGACGGTTAGGATCTTTAGTTATAAGAAATTTTGTACCTAAGTTAAAGCTTTGATTTTGTCAGAATTCCAAGGGGAATAGTTTTAAGTTAGAATTAGATTGAGTTTTGTCGGGTTGATTGATTTTGATTTGAATAAATTTGTTGATTTGTTGTTAAATATTGTACATAGTTATTTCTAGAACTTTATTAAACATTTTTAATTGGGTTTTGACTAACTTGGCCATTAATTTATTCCGGTGCATGCAAAAATCCAGGCCTGGCAAAATAAATGCAAACCCGCGTAAAGTACCCATTAGGTAATGGCTCTTTCCGGTACAAAGTCATATCGAGAATCGTTGTAGAGAGATAAGATAAAATATAGTACTTTACAATATGATGAGATTGTCACCTACTGCTCTGCAAAATGTGCACCAACTCTCAAAACTGCCTGAGCAGGTGTGGATTGAGTTAAGAACAGAGGATGTTTGGCATCATATAGAGCAGGTGTGGCCAAACTTTTATCCTTTAGGGGCTACTTTTTTGGTAAAATATAGTCTGCAGGCGACTATGAATATGGGCAAACAATTTTAGGATTTTTACATGCACATGCCTTAACATTCATTTGCATTGTTCATCGGGATAAATACAAACAGTATGGGTATGTTGCACAGACAGTCTATTATTGTAAGAATAAATTATCGAATTAAGATTTTTAAACATTAATTTAAGTGAAAGCAAATTGTTCAACTTTAGCTTTCAAAACCCTTGCAATCGATCGCGGTCTACATATTGGCCATCCCTGATATAGAGTCTATCCCCGGTGTTTGCAAGTCATGATCACCCAGAAAAATGGACAAGCCCATTATTAGGCAGGTGTTCCTAATATAGTGATTGTTCAGTGTAAAATTCAATGCCCAATATATATGTAGTCATATACTTTTTTTATGAATTATATATATATATATATATGTAATTCATAATGTATGACTATATATTGTTTGAGTCTCAAATTTATTAAATTTTAATAGATAAATATTAATTTTGTGAATGTCATTTAATGTTGTCACAAATAAAATACTCTTCAAGATAAAATATGGAAATTTTATGACAATCCAAATTAATGTTACAATTAGCAAATTTAGGTAGTTCTTTTATAAAAATTTGCACCTTTAATTTACTATAAATGATATCTATGTAAAGATTATCTGCAGAATTATTATTATATGAAAGAATTTTTTTAAATAGAGCATCCAAAACAATGCAAAATGAAATTATTCTAATTTCATCAAGGCATTAAATAATTATTACTTTTTCAAACAATATTGTGAGAAAATTTTAATATATTGTAAAACTGACTCTTAAATAAAAATTTAAATCAAAATAAATCAGTTTCATTCAATTTGTTGTTGATAAAATTCAAAAATTTCTCAATGTAATTATTGTGACATTTTTATGTGATACAGCCAAAGAAGGACTTCCTTTTAATTTCAGGATATTACGATAGTCATGATTTATATCATTTTCTTAAATTAGTAAATACTTTATCAATGCATAACTTGCACTATCATGAAAAATATTCCATAATTTCTCTAATTCTGCCACATCATTTTTTGTTTGTTTTCATGGATTTGATGAAGACACAAAAAGTATTGTATAAGAATACTTACTCAATTCAAAGTATAATACACTTTTACTATTAAGAAACACTAATTTAAACTTTAAAAAAATAGATGATATAATATATTTATAACATGGATATAATTTTTTTTGTTGTACAATAACTTATATTAATATTTTAGGGAATATATTCTAGAGTTGTTGTTAAGATAATTATTGTGTATTATTTTAATTATTATCTCTCTCTCTTTAAAAAACTGTTACCTCTCTATCATATTATAATCGTACGAAGTGTGCAATTCCATAATTTCTCTCTATTTTTCACATAATTTCACATATATTTCATAATTTTTCACAATTCCATTTTTCTCTAAATACATTTTTGAGAAATTGGAGAAATTAATTCTAAATGCAATGGTTTCTGCTGCAAAAAAATATTATAGCAATAATGGTGTAGTAAGTGGCTTATTTTGAAGATGAATTCAAATACAAATAAAGTGACTTCTGGTACTTAAAACATTACAGTNAAACACTAATTTAAACTTTAAAAAAATAGATGATATAATATATTTATAACATGGATATAATTTTTTTTGTTGTACAATAACTTATATTAATATTTTAGGGAATATATTCTAGAGTTGTTGTTAAGATAATTATTGTGTATTATTTTAATTATTATCTCTCTCTCTTTAAAAAACTGTTACCTCTCTATCATATTATAATCGTACGAAGTGTGCAATTCCATAATTTCTCTCTATTTTTCACATAATTTCACATATATTTCATAATTTTTCACAATTCCATTTTTCTCTAAATACATTTTTGAGAAATTGGAGAAATTAATTCTAAATGCAATGGTTTCTGCTGCAAAAAAATATTATAGCAATAATGGTGTAGTAAGTGGCTTATTTTGAAGATGAATTCAAATACAAATAAAGTGACTTCTGGTACTTAAAACATTACAACTTATGTTTACATCATTTTGTTATTCCAGAGAATTTGTAACCTAGTGAGGTTTTTTATACCATTTTATTGTAAACTTGAAGGAATTCATTCACTAAAAAAAATGTTTTTTTATTTTTCCCAAATAGTTTGTTTTTTGGCATTTACAACATTATGGCATTGCACACTTCATGCATTGCTTCTTTAAATTATCTTTTTCATTACTATTATGGTATTATAATATTACAAAGATTGGCATATTATTTTACTTCATTTTTCTCAGATATTATGTATTTTAGTAGCATTTCATTTAATCAGCTATCATTATGAAATTTAAAACTAATCAATATTTAGCAATATTTAACAGAGTAATTTTGAGTTTTTAACTAATGATAGCTTGGAATAGTATACAATAAATTATTTATGAATAATTGAAAGACAGAAAAATATAATAAATTTTGATTTTTCCATTTATTTATTTTAAGATAAATAATTGAACAAATATTTGGTAGTAATAATTATTATGAACATCTATTATATTTTTAAGAAGTATATTCTAATAAACAGTAGAAACTTCTTAAAAATATAAGATTTTAAAATATTTAAGGATGTAAAAATATACTAAATGCTCTAAAGCTAATATATTGTATAAGAAAATTAATTTTTATTTACCAAGAGAGAGACAAATTGAATTTTATAAAACACAATGTAAAGAGCTAAGAAATAAAAACTTACCACTATGATTGCAACAATGATTCCTTGAATTGAACCAGTTAAAACATCACTCCAATGATGTTTATAGTCAGATACTCTGGATAAGGCAGTATAATAGGCTGAAAACAACACAACAGCCTGCAAAAATGGTCTCAGCAACTTATTGCATTTCCAAACAAATCGGGCTTGTAAGTACATCTATAAAATTATTCTTATTAATTATGGATTTTTATTTTAAATATAATTACATTTAAAAATCTGATAATACTTGTTACATACAGTACATAAACACACCAAACATTTCAGGATTGAATATCCTAAATGTTTGGTTTACAATTTAAAAAAATATATTATTTATAATACTTATGCATAAATTCATATAAATAATTAAAATATTTCATTTCTGCCAAGTGTTTAAAAAGTGTCACTACATTGTGTCTATGAAAAGTAAAAAAAAAATATTTCAAAAATATGACAAATTATATAGATACTGGTTTAGAGGATATTTTTTCATATTAATAATTTTCATATATATTCAATAATATAATGGTACTAATTTGAGAATTAACCAACTAAATTGCTACATATTCACAGTATAATGTGTTTATAGAAATCATGTTTTAAGATAATTATAATAAAAATAAAGACAAACATATAAAATGTTTAAGACTGTACATTACATTACAGTTCTGTGTCTGTTATGTTTAAGATTGAATTTTAATCAATCAAAGAATGAAAGTATTAAACAAAAATTTATTGAACAATTTAGAATTATTATTTGTGATCACTAAGTATCTAATGCTTCTTGAAGACAAATACTTTGTTTTATACATTCACATGCTAAACAATTTAAAAGCAAATAAATGTTCTATATAGATAAAAACAATATCAAAATAATAATACTAAAGTTTCTATCCTCTATCTTAAAAGTATAATTTTCTTTTTTAATTAATATACAATTAAATATATTAATATTTTTTGATTATTAAAACTCATATTCCTTCAAATATATTAATACAAATATAAGATAATACATTTTTTTTTATAACTGTTTTATTTAGAAAAGAAAATTTATTTTCTTTCTATTTTTTTACAATATCTTAATAGTATAATGCATGCGCAAATTATCAATAAATTTTAAATACTAATATATCTTTTTTTGAAACACAGTTTTTATCAATCTACAACAGTATTAGGGCAGATATATATATATATATAGTGGGTGATTGGTTAACAAACAAATCAGATAATGAACACTTTTGCAAAAGATTTTTATGTTCGGACAACAAACACCTCACAGAACAAACACAAGAAGAAGTGACATAAAATAACGAATACCGATTGGTCTTCCCTTGTCTTCAGACAACAATTCAAAACTTTTTGGAGTGCAGGAAACATCGACATCGATGATCAACCAGGTATATACTGATCGAATAGTATTCCTCTGAACTTTGAAACTCTCCATTGTAATTCCAGCCTTTTGTTTTTCTGACAGAAACAATTTTTTTATAATATTCGCGAGACTGTTGGGCAGGCACTCATTAAGTTTTGCGTCAGTTTTTATTTTCGAAAGGTAAGAGTATAATAGCAAAGGTAGAGAGTGGGCAGATGTCTGATGTCTGTTGTTGCTGGGCAGTATAGCTTGAACAGGTCTACAGTAGGCCTCAGTTCAATCTTATCTAAGAAAGATACAGTATAACTGAGAAGACTCAAGCAGCGTAAGGAGTAACAAAAATCACATCTGAGAAATAAAGAACATTGAAGAGCTCATAATGGAACCTGAAACGGATCTGACAACAGAAGAACGCCAAGAACTCTTGAATGAAGAACACCAAGAAACTCAGCGAGATATGTTTTCTTCTAAAAAAAAGAATTAATGTCAATATCTGCTATTAAACATTTTTTTGAAGAAGTGGGATGATGTCAGAACAATGGTCTTAGAATGTCATCCAAACCAGGTTGAGATTAATAGGCTTAGGGATCTCTACAATTACAGCGCTATTAATTACTTCTGAAAAATCCTGAAGAAGAGAGAGAAGCAATTGATTCTTTAACCCCCACAAAAGGAAAAAATGTGACTAATATAAATGCAAGAGTGTGTATATATGTATTTTTATTATTACATATAAATAAACATAGTAAGAAAGTATATTTTTTATTTTTTGGGGTCTCCAGAACGAATTAATAAAATTCCCATAAAAACCTATGGTAAATCGATAATCTGTTAATGAACAATTCAGATAGCGAACAAAGTCTTGGAACGTATTATGTTCGTTAACCGATCACCCACTGTATTTGTATCAAAGTAGCTATCCCATTCCAATCTCTATCAATCTGTTTCATGATCTACTTTTTTATGCATTTGAGTAACAACAATGTTTTTTATAGTTTGTTCTTTCTCAAAGTTAACAAATAATTAGCAAAATAAAACATTAACAAATTTTCTAAAACAATTTTTTATTAAAAAATTTGTGTTTAAAGCTTTCTGTATGAAGGCTTTGAACTATTAGGGAAATTTCTTTAATTATGATCACCTTATATTAACACAGATTAATAGAATACTGAAACACAGGGTGCATGTACAGTGGATGAAAACTATTTGCAGTAAGGTTCATTCATGTACTGTACAGTATAATTGTTTAATACCCATAGACAAAAATCAATGTGTTTTTGAAATGCTAGTAGATATTTTATTTAAATATTGTATTTTAAAAGAGAATTCAGAAAAGAAAGCTAATATCCAGTATATCATCAATTAGACTCCCAGTAGCCTATAGATTGACTTCAGATTCTAGTTTAGACAAAATTTTATCTACACTTAATGAATCTTATCTTTTGCTCAATAGACTGTCATCCCCATACTGAGAAAAGTAATGTTGGTCACATGTCTTGACTTCCTCCTGATCATTCAATATTTTGACACCATATTATTTTATAAATATCTTAATGGTATTTTAAATTTAAATTATATTTTTATTAATGTTCCACCTTTTAGTTCACATAATTACAGTTTTATATACACACCTTTAGTTGTCTGTCTAAGTTTATATGAATTTATTGTAAATTCTTTTTTATTTGTTTTCCAAAACCATTAGGATTTTTTAGAGCATCACTTACTTCAAGACTTTTTTATTTTCAATAAGTACTGTACAAATGATTTGTTAGTTCACAGTATTTTAGAGTACTTTTTCTTTTATGTTTTATATTTGCATTTATTGTTTTTGTCAGGGCTGTGGAGTCTGAGTCATTGAGTTTTGATGCTTTAGTCGAAGTCATCAAAAATCCCTGACTCTGACTCCTTTTTACTTTTCCAACTTGTTATGTATATAAAAAATGAAAAAGTTTTTGAATCATGTCACATTTAACCCTCCGAGTTTTTCGCAAGTCTATATGTTAGGCGATCTCTTGAACCCAAAAAATGTCAAATAAAGGGAAAAATTTGCACACGCACACATATGTTGGCGTCTAATTTGTTTAATTTCTTTATTCTGTTCTGAAATATTAAAGATTACCCTGAAGAACTCTGTTTCTACTGTACTACTTTAAATGCAATTTTTTGTGCTTTTGTGAAAAATCGAACATACTTTTAGACCCATCTAAAAATTTTCTAATTAATCTCGGAAGAGGAGGGACCTAATTCTTGCACCCATGCACCCAGTGAAAATGGGTAAGATCGACTATAATCTAATAATCTTAATCTTTGATATCGTTACTTTGCCTGAGCAACATCTGGCTCATCTGCTTTTTTTTTTTTTTTATAAAACTCTACCCTCAAAATTAAGCTCAAGTTCTAATATGAGTACAGACAGAAAAGGAAATCTTACAAAATATGAAGATAATATTTACAATGCACTGGAAAAACTAAATCACATTGACTACTCTTCAAGTTTGGATGTTAAATCGGCAATACTGCACTACCCAGACATTATCCAAGATACAGCATTGATTGTCACAGCATTGCCATCAACCAAGTTTCAGTAGAGCATTTATTTTCTGCTCTTAAAATTATTAAATATGATTTAAGAGCTTCAGTGAATACTGACTTAAAAGAAGTGATTTTTTTTGTAAGGAGATATTCAGTTTATAACAGAAATGAAAAATAATAAATTAATCAACATGGTAAAATAAGCAACCTTTTTCTTTACCAGTCTAAATGTTATATTTCTTATTCTTGGCTTAGTTTAATGTATCTGTATACATATATGTTACTCAATATGCTTGTATATTATGTACAACAACACTTTTATTCGTACATGCTTACCAAATACCATTGCCATCATCAAACAAGTCAATAAATGTGAATTTATATATTCAGTAGATGTGTCAAATTTTAATGTTTAATTACTTTTTTTAAAATCGTTTTATTTTGTATTTTTTTAAAAATAATCATCATTATTACTTTTCCAGCAGTTATACAGTATATTCCTATAACAAAGGAAAATAATGATGATCAGTCAAAAAATTACTTTCCCAGATTTTTACTCTTTTGGACTTGGGAAGCCTTGATATGTAGAGAAGTGCAAAAGCAAATTCGGGGTTTTTTCTGTATGCATGATGTTATAATGTGTACCAACCGATTTAGTTCAACCATTTTGAAGCTTAATAACTCCTGTGTTAAACCATCCGACTCCGATTCAAAATTGTGCCTCCCATACAGTCTAACAGTCCAAAACCCAAATATTTGAATATCTTGACATTTTGAGGTGTCCTGAGTCCAAAAATGCAAAAATTTGAGGATGGATCATTCAATCGGCAATGTACTACACCGGGTTAAAGTAAACAAATAAAAAACAATGTACCAAGAACCGGCAACAGGTTCCTGGTACGTTGTTTTTTGGATGGATCATTTTTTGACCAATTGCTATACTTTTCCTCTGTTATATATAACAGCCAGAAAAGTAAAAATTATCAAATACATATTTATATATTGACTATGTCATTACTTAGAGGAGTATTTTAGCTTTGAATAAAAAGTTTCTATGTTCTATGTTTATTAGAACTATGTTTATTGAAGCTTATATTTTGAGGTCATGTGATGACGTCAGAATTTTCAACCTACTTTGTTAACAAGTCTGTCTCTGGTTGGATGGTAAGAAAAAGTCGGATGTCAGAGTCGTGTAAAAATCTACCAACTCCACAGCCCTTGTTTTTGTATTACCTTTTATATGTTTATCTGTTGATTTCTTAACAGGAATTAGTGTTCCAGGACAGTTGTCAAATGTTCTTGTGAATGCTCCTGTAAGTCAACTTAAATAGATAAAAACAAAAAAAAACTTTTAAACAGAAGTCAAAAAGTATAAACAAGTGTCAGAAAAAGTGTTACAGTAGAGTCTCGAAAACTCAGCACTCGATAACCCGGCCACTCCCTAGCAGGGCAAAAAAATCCTTAGTTAATTAATTTTCATTATAGACAGCTTTATGACTCAAAGTATTTTTCTGAGGTCTGTCTGATCAGGTAAATTACTGTACACAGTGTATTCATTAATTTTCATTTTCATGTAGTAAAGGCTCTATGCCTTCATAATGGACGTACTTTTTTAAGGGTATTTGGGTAGTTTATTCTCTGTTGTATTCTCAAGTAAACAATACATAAAAGTACAGTACAGTATTTTCTGAGGAAACACTCATACTTATTTTTATTAACCCCATTTCCGATAACCTGACATTTTCACAAACTCGGCCACCCTTTGGTCCACATTAGGCCGAGTTTTCGAGACTCTACTGTACTAATTTTACTGGCTTTTATGTCAGGTTTATTGATATTTTTCTTCAGTAAGTGTTGTGAGTGATACATCAGTGAGATTAGAGAGGAAAGTGTTAAGTAATAATATTAGTTTCTAAAAACAATGATATTTTCCAAAAGAGAATAAGCAATATATTACCTGAATCAAAATTCTGTTAATTATTAATAATAGGTAAAATACTTACAGCAACAAACACCATACAGTATGCAGAAAATGATGCATGTCCTGACATAAATGATAATCTGAAAATATGAAGTTCATACAACTTTCAATAAAAAGCATTTATAAAATAATGCTTACTTATTACAATAAAAATGAACTATTTATTATTATCTCTTAAATATATTTGTATGTACTGTATATTAAATAGTGGATCTTGATAATTTGTATCATTTAATCACCATGCCTGTCCATTGTTCCAAATGATAAAATTTTGTTTATATATTTATCTAAAAAAGATAAATAACAAAGTTTATATTTAAATAAATGTTTAAATTTTGAATATTTTTGTACAGTTTCGAATATTTATAGCATATATTATATTATATTTCAAAAATTTTCTTGGGGGAGTCTTGAATCATCTTTATTTGGAGTATTCTTTAATTCCAGACCTCACAGTAAAGCCATTCCACAATTTGCTAGATCCACCTATACTATAGTCAGGTCTAGTTATACCATTGGGATGAACTCTCAATGATTAATAAATAATAAATTTGTCTTTGATTAAGTCATCAATTTTTACATGCTCACATTATATTTTCTCATGGTAATTCATTATTACATAAACAGCATTCTTTATGATAAAAAAATAGCAGTTGTAAAACAAATTAAGCCTAAATGGTAATGTAACAAAAAACCATTTTATACATATGTACAATTAGTTTTCTTTTAAAATAACAACAATAGTAAAAATGTTGAGTTCTGTGAATTATGTTTTATTTGTTTTGTTTCATAAAATTATAAATCTAATCAATGACATCTTTCCATTCTAATATCAGCAAAATTATTTGAATATAAAACAATAAAATATGATAATACTGTATTTATTTTCTATCTTTAAATCTCAAATACTCTTAGAAAGGGTATTTGAGATTTTAAGATAATTATAGTTTAATTATATAACACATACACCTTGTTGCTGAGAATCTACTTTACTGCTTTAAATGAATGTTCGTTTAAAGCAGTAAAATAGATTCTCAGCACAAATATTGTATTCTAAATACTGGTATTTTGAACAATCTCGTACTCACTTAACCTTTATTGTCCGGTACTGCTTAACCATTCGTAAAACAAATGTTTTCAGCGTCAGTCGAGGTCAGCCTCAGGTTAAGCAGTACCAGACAATAAAGGTTAAGTGAGTACGAGATTCTCAGCAATAAGGTGTATGTGTTATATAATATTGAACGAGTCTGAGTATATGTTGAAGTATAGTTTAATTATCTTAAAGATATAAAAGTAAAGAATTTTGATTTATCTAATCTAAAAATTGTAAAATAATATTTAGCTTACCTTGATTCTCTAACTCTGAATGAATCAGAATTAAGGCAATTAAAATCAGAAGGTAAAATGTACCTATGAGAATCATTGCATTTACTAACATCTATACTAGGCTGACAAATATCAATAAAATGTGGTCTGAGACGGCCAATACTGTATTTTGCAATATCAGTTATTAATTGCGAGATACATGCTCCAAAGGCAAAAACCCATATCAGTTGATAAACTTCCCAAAATATTGGATGAAGTCTAATTCCATTTACTGTTGGTGTTTCAACATTGGTTTTATTTGTATAAAATCTTAAAGTTTCAATGATAATTATCTGTAAAAAATTACAAGTTATAAGCACAATAAAATATTTGCAAATTCATTTATTTCTTGAAGAACACAAAATCTGAAAGCAAAAAATGTTTTCTATGTTCATTATCATTTCATTAATACATTTTTGAAATTTTATTTCATTTTGTTTATAAATATATTTTAATTAGCTATATTAAATAAGTTAGACATTATGTAAAAAAAATCAAATAATTTTCTATCATATATAACTAATATACACAAGGTATAAAATTATTACTATTTAAATATAATAATAATTTATAATTTAAAGCAAAAAATATTTTTTGCTTTAAATTATAAATGATAAATTTTAATGTTTAATTAATTTCTACATAAATTTAATCCAAGAAATATGATTATTTTCATTAGGAAAATTTAACTGAAAAGATTACTTACAGAATAGAATGAAAACTATTTGTCAATAACAATAATATTTTATTGTATATCATATTATACTGAAATACTCATTGCATAAAAACATTTAACAATTTTTATTTTTACATGCCTTCCTTTCATTTTTTAAAAAAATTCTATTACTTTAAGATTAAGTTATATAGAAAAGCAGTAATTGTGAAAAATCAACTTCTGGAAACTATAGCATCTCATAAAATAATTCAAATATTTACCACAGCTGCTGGAAATAATGTCCCTACGCAATATAATACTTTATTATTGATGGTTGATTCTTTGTATGGATAACGTATGGATTCATCATCACAATAGAATCCTCGCTGAAATGGTTTTCCAATAGCAAAAAATATTATGATTGGTACACCAACTGAAAATAGAAATATCTAAATAAATAATGATAAAAATTTTAAAACAATATACAGTGGTACCTCAGGTTACGAACGCCCCAGCATACGAAATTTTCAGGATACGACATGAAATTCGAACATATTTTTGCTCCACGATACGAACAAAAACTCACCATACGACGTTTCATTAGTTCGCATTTTTCATTTGTTTTTCTTACTACAGTTATTTTTTTTAATGTATTACTTGGCTTTAATTTGAGTATGTTTTTCGCGTTGGAACGAATTATTTGGTTTTACATGTAATCGTATGGGAAAAGATGATCCACCTTACGACATTTTCATGATACGATCTCAGTTTCGGAACGGATTAATTTCGTATCCTGAGGTACCACTGTATTAAAAATATAAATTTATTAATTGCTATTGTATTTTCATACAGATTCATTTATTGCAAATAAGTGAGCTTTTTTGATTTAATATCTGCAAATACAAAAATAATTTAAAATCATTCAAAAAAATGATAGTAATGTTACATTTTTTCAGTAATATTAAAGAAGACCACGACATGTAAGATAAAATCTGAAAACAGTCAAGATCAAGACAAAATCAAGATTTTAATTTTCAAGACCTAGGTGCAAGATTCTGATATATGACTGCTTTTTTTAACCTGTAAGAATTTAATTACCCTTATAGGTAATACAAAATCCTTACATAAAATATAATGTAATTTACAGAACAAAATATAAGAGAAATAAACACTGTTGACAAGTAATAGTACTGTACATATCAAGATGGTAAGTATTGCCATAATAGACTACTCTCTATGGCTAGATCAACAAAAAATCCAGTTTTCTCTCTTTTTCCATATCACTTAAGTTTAAATGTCTTGTATACTTAAATATATAAATAAATATATCAATGGTGCAATTTATTTTTAAAATTAAAAAATAATAATATACAGTATATATATTAAAACTTTAAGGTTAAAAAGTTAAGTAACTGTTGTTTTTTACATCTATAACCGCATTTAATCAGAGCTAGTACTAAGGTATTTAAACATTAGTATTTATTATCACTATGCATTTCGGGTGTTTTTTTTAAATGTTTTTTACACCCCTCTTCAGGCAATACAAAAAACTAAAAAGGAACAAGTAAAATGGCAAAACCATATTTGGGACAAGACTATGTCTCAGAACTCACTACTAAGCGAATCACTTTGATGCTCAAGGCGGGTCTTTTTCTCATTCTCCAATCTTCTTTGCTATCATTGCTTTTGGGCGCGATCGTTCAAACTTTGCCGGCCAGACTAAGAGGTTGACCACGATGCATTTTCAACAGTGCCGGCCCGAGGCAAGTTTTAAGATGGAGTGAGATCCTTTTATGGTGCCCCATTGGTTGCCCTTAATTTATACCCTTTAATTTTCTTTACCACTGAGGTGCCCATTGGGATTTAGCGCCTGGAGTGGCTGCTCTGTTCGCCCTATGGTAGGGCCGGCTCTGATTTTCGATGAAATTAACCTATCCAATTTCAAAATTTCTCTCCGTTGCGTGTTGACCCAGGTTGAATTTTTGTCGATACCTAACAAAAATTTCCCGTTTTTGAAAAAAAATAACGTCCGAAATTACTTTTTTATTTTGCACAAACAATATACAGTTTAAGCTGATTATAACGTCATCGGATGTAAAGACAACCCTAATATAACGTCAAATTTTTATCAGTCCCATGAATTTACTATACTAGATAATATTAAATAACCTACTTGTAACAACATAAAACCCTGTTTTAATGTCATATTTGAAGCACTCCCAAATTTACAAAATTAGATTACAAATGCACGTAGCTTCGGCAGTAGAGAATCGCATCCACTCGGAAGTCGAATCCGATAAATAGACATAGGGAATACCTTTTTGTTCCTACACGCCAGAAGAAATTCCAGTTTAGCCTTAGATTACAAATCTTATTTAACAAAAAATATTACGTGTTCAGTCCTAGGGTCAGAGTCCACTTCCTAGAACGACTGTAGTGACAGGTGGTGAGAGTACCATCTGACTTCAGTTTGCCTGTTTGTAGACAGAGTAGCCCTTTTGTATTTTATTTCGACTCAGTTCTCGGTCCCCTGAGTACTTACAAGTTTGGATTTTTCTTTATGTGCGCATGATTTGGGCACCTAATACTCTGTGCCAAATTGCAACTCCTGACAAGTACTTCTTCATACCTCTAAGCTGGTTACCCAGCAGGCAGTATGATTTTATAAACAAGACATAGTCTTGTCAAAAACATAAAAAAGTAATACAATATTTAAAAATTCATATTATACAAACTGACTTTTTTTTTTTTTTTCAAAAAGTAACAAAAGACGTTCGTTTATAAATTTTCCATAATCCATAAATCGTTGTTCCACCAACATTGGTTTATTTGTGCACTTTTTAAATCCTACTACATCCATCCACATGCCCTCTATTTCCATCCCATTATTTAAATTAATAGTACAGGTAACCCCCGTATAACACAGCATTTCTATAGCATGGATTCACTTTAACACGGTTCAAGAATTGGGTAAAACCCTCGTACAACATGAAATGTAATAAATTTTCATATACTTAAATACTATTAGTTTATGAAAATTATTACTTTTGTGAACTATTAGTACTTAAGTATGTAAATTTTCTTTCCCCGCCTTCTGTTGATACATGTGGTCCTTCTCGAAACTTGTTTCAGTGTTGCCAGATCTCGACGCTTCTGATTTTGATGTTGCCAGATGTTTTTTCTTATTCCATACTTGCTTTATTCTTCATAAGTGCTTAGCACCATATAAGGAAATTTATAAAGATTTTTTAACTAAGAGCAAGCAATCTAAAATAGCATATTTTTTGCAAAAGGTAGAGCATGGATCTGAAGATAATGCAGAAAAATGCTCCGAGGATAAGGATATCTTGCCAAAAAGAAAACACCCTCAGTTAACAGTGCTTAGTGATGACGAAGAAAACATTGTTTAATTTATATTAATATGTATCATTTAAGAAAATTTTAATAAAGATATATTTTCATAATTACGATAATTAATAGCATGTTTTTTAATTTTTGGAACCTAACCCCCATTTTCATACTAGTTCTTTGTTTCATATAACACGGATTCGCATAACACAGCAATTTTTTGGAACATAACTCCTGTGTTATACGGGTGTTACCTGTATTATGCATATTTACAATTGCTACATGTTCTTTAAATCTATGCAAGTACAGATCTTTTTCTTTATAAATTATTTTCACATTATTTTTATTAATTACACATTCAAATTGATTATAATGGTTTGTCCATGGTGATTGATTCTTTTTAATTAATTGCAGCTTCATGTTCTAGATTCTAATCCAGAGCTGTCTTCCCTTTTCACCTATGTAAATGACTGGATCTTTACATGTACAGTACATTTTAACTAATAATCAAATAAGAAACTTAAAATTATAAAAGTAAAAATAAATAACATCATAACACTTTTACTTTGTTGTCAAATAGTAATTTAAATACTGAATCAAAACTGTCTAAAATTCCACATGGAAGAGAGTTTAGTATGGAAGAAATTGAATGAATGGAAATTAAAAGCAGAAGGCTGTAGTGTCAAGGAAATTGCTGTTTAAATGAACAGATCTACTCCTAGAATTTATAAAATTTTGGAAAAATTATCACCAATATACTTTCTAAACATCAATCAGGAAGGCCCAAAATCATATCTCAAAGGAATGATAACTGAATTGTGTACCTTGCATCACAACAGGATAAATCAGTTTGTCAAATTTTGTGTGAAAGTGAATTAAAAATATCAAAAAGTGCTGTTTGCTGAAGAATTTCAGCAGCTCCACACATGAAATGTGATGCTTTGATGAAAAAACCATCACTAACAAAATGACACAAATTGGCAAGAATGCTGTGGGCTAAAGATCATATACTGTGGAATGACCAAAGGCTCTCAGTCTTTTTCAGTGATGAAAAGAAATTTAACTTGTATGGCCTAATTACTGGCATGATATTAGGAAAGAAGAGTGTAGTTTTTCAGTAGTCAACTGAATGGTTTTGTTATGGTGTGGGGCTGCTTTAGATTTAATGGTTTATCAAATTTAGTGATTAACTGATAGACAGACATCTAAAAGTTATCATGAAGTCCTAAAAGAGACTTTATTACCTATCAGAGAAAAAATTGGAAGACCTGATTGGATTTTCCAACAGGACAATGCCAGTATTCATTGTTCATGCTCAACAACTAAGTGATTTGAAGATCATAATATTCAAGTTATGAAGTGGCTGGCAAAAAGCCCAGACATTAATCCTATTGAAAACTTGTGGGGCATTAGTAAAGATCTTATTGCCATTCCTTCCCAACTCCGTCTAGTGAAGAGGGTTTCTTGTGTATCACGACTCGATGTAGTGAATCCGGTTTGTTGGAAAGCACACCTCCACACTCAAATTGAGTATATTTACAGTTTATTTACAGTTGTGGAAAGTACAAGTTAGAAAACATAGTGTATGTACAGGATAACCATGCGTAGTGAATTCACGTGCCAGATTGGCGTCTGGGAACTAATAACCTTTGGATAGACCTCAGTCAGATTGTGGAGTCGGCTCAACTGCATGGTCGGTCCGGTCTCAGCACTAACCTGTCTCTGAGAAGATCAACAGAGGAGAACACTCTCTCTTTTCGCTCAGCGGGTTTCCCAAGTGCCTGAGACAACCGTGTATCAGTCTCTTGCCCTTCTCTCCTTGACTCTCGTTCGCCCCGCAATTTAAGGGATTTAGGAACGGGAACTTCTGACCAATCACAACCCTTTTTTATGCCCGAACAGCTTACACTCAGGTCCGCCATCATCCGACGAGAGTGAAGCTTACACAAACGTCCGCCACTTGTTTACGTTCGTTTGTTTACAATATGGTAAATGTACTACCGTCTGACTGCAGGTGGGTCCAATTAACAAAGCCGGCGCTTCCTTTGTTTACCCTTGTTTACAAGTCAATACCTTACAAGTGGT